CCAGCCCACAAGAACACTACAGGTTAATGTCACAAGCCTTGAATAAAAGCTACAAGAAGAAATACTTAGGCTGAAGGGGAAAGAGGCCTCCTCAAGAATAGGTATCTTCTTGAGAAAATGCTCTTCCTCCTGAGGAGAACAGTGGACAAAATCCTGCATTTCAGCATTCCTGCAGCGGAGTTCAGGGAAGGGCTATGGCATCCTTGCAATCTAAATGTCAGTTCTATTTCTTTGCATGATCCCAAATGTGGCTTTGACTCTGGCTTCAAAACTCTTGCACCTCACTTATTTTATACCCTGAAAGGCCTCTATTTGCTGGTCCAGGGCTAAGTACTAGGAACAAGATACTCATAGGTCATGGAATACTGCCCCAGAGACTATACAATTAAATGGTTAACTTTCTTCTTCTTTAATAGACTTAGGTATACTGAGAGTGTCTTGTTTTCTTAGTCAGATTTTTGAAACATCAAGTAATGGAATTTAGAAATGCAGTTTCTTTTTTAATAATGCATTGAGCATCTAGCAATTCTAATACTTCAGGTGATATAGAAAGAAGGGGGAATGAACACTCAGTTGGTTTGGAACTAAGTAGGGACTCATTTGCACTGTGCTCGTTCTACAGAATAGAAAACTCAGACTGGATCAGAATGCTGCCTCCTACCCAGAAAAATCAGAAAATGTCATCAATGCCTTGACTGGCAAGTTAATATCTCATAGTTCATTCAGCATATATGTGTGTGTATATACAGGTGTACTTCTCTATTCCTTTCCCTCCAGCATTTAAGCAAAATGTTCTAGTGAAATAATTTGCCCTTTGATATTTAAGTAAATCTGGAGTCAATGGCATTTGTGGCTGTTATTAATGGTGGACCTGTCTTTGTTGTACGTGGGGTCTTGACTTAAGAACGGCTTGAGTTAAGAACATTTTGACTTAAGAACCGCTCTCATAGGAAAATATTGATTTGACTTACATACTTAGATTTGAGTTAAGAACTGAAAAAAACCACGTGGGAGGCAGGGAAAGTGCAAAATTTGAACTTTCAGTTAACTGTTGGCCAGTGAAAAGGGTGCCTGTCTGCTTCCTCACTCCTCCCAGCGTTTAGAGAGTGGATTGGGAGTCTTCAGACTGCGTGGTACTGCCTGGACTGTATTTTCCCTCCCTTCCCTGAACCTTTCGTGACCTAAGAAAAAAAGAAACAAAATATCCCCCTCCAGTGGTCGAAGGCAGAATAGCAGCTTCCCATTAGTTTCTATGGATGGAAAAGAGCAGATACGGATCAAATGGTTTTCAATGCATTCCTATGGGAAATGCAGATTTGACCTGAGAACTTTTTGACTTGAGAACCGCCTTCCAATACGGATTAAGTTCTCAAGTCAAGACCCCACTGTATAGTGCCTGGACACAAAGCCAGCTAGAACAGGCCAAGGAGGCCTGGTGCTCCATCTTCTCCTGCCAGTCAGGCCAGCTACCTCCTTGAAGACAATTAACTTCTATCCTCTGTTTCTTCTCTTGCTTTAATCACATACTCCATATAAGTGGCTTCTGGAAAGTTATACATTTGATATGCTAGGCTACCACTGCTGACACTCAGTAATTTTCCAGGCCCTGGGCAATTAGCATACAGTGCATTGTTCACTAGAGGAAGCTGTGGTGCCTGTACTGTTCCCTTCACACTTTCTCATAGACATTACCTTCAGTTCAGGCATGCTGCCAATGAGTTCATAGGGGAGCTTCACATCAGGTTTATTTGTGTAATCAAGTGGGACGAGCTGAGGGGCTAGATCACGATACCGATCAAACAATCTGCAAGCAAGCAAAGGAGAGGAAAATTTCTAGAGCCAGGACCAGTGTTTTGCTGGTCCATCAGGCTTCGTTGATATACAACCAACAACCATTAGCAAGTAATATGCTGTTTATGACACAGGACAATACTGGGTAGTTTGGTCTGATGTTTGTTTTCTAAAATGAACAAAGGTAGAGCCCAACCAGCAATCACATCAAACACATCAACAGCAGCACATGCAAGAGACCTTGAAGTGGTTATCTTACTTCAACCGCTAAAAGCAATTTTGTTTGGAGGCCAGAAGAGGCCAACAAGATACCTTTATTTATTTTTATGTATGTATTTATTTATTTATTTGATTTTTATACCACGCATCTGGCAGCCAAGGCCACTCTGGGTGGTTTACAACAAAGTAAACAATAACAATGGAAGCAAACAATAACAATCCCCTTCATGGATTGCTGCCTTGTCGTGGCGAAGGGGCTTGAGTAACTCAGAAAAGCTATGGGCTATGCCGTGCAGGGACACCCAAGACGGACAGGACATAGTGGAGACTTCCAACTAAACGCAATCCACCTGGAGTAGGAACCACTCAGGTATAATCTAAACCAAATCCCTTATGAATACACAGTGGAAGTAAAGAACAGATTTAAGGAACTAGATTTGGTGGACAGAGTGCCTGAAGAACTTTGGATAGAGGCTCGTAACATTGTCCAGGAGGCAGCAACGAAAACCATCCCAAAGAAAAGGAAATGCAAGAAAGTAAAGTGGCTGTCCAACGAGGCCTTAGAAATAGCAGAGAGGAGAAGGGAAGCAAAATGCAAGGGAGATAGGGAAAGTTACAGAAACTTGAATTCAGACTTCCAAAGAATAGCAAGGAGAGACAAGAGGGCCTTCTTAAATGAACAATGCAAAGAAATAGAGGAAGATAACAGAAAAGGAAAGACCAGAGATCTGTTCAGGAAAATTGGACATATTAGAGGAACATTTTGCGCAAAGATGAACATGATAAAAGACAAAAATGGGAGGGACCTAACAGAAGCAGAAGACGTCAAGACGAGGTGGCAAGAATACACAGAGGAATTATATCGGAAAGATTTGGATATCCCGGACAATGCAGACAATGTAGTTGCTGACCTTGAGCCAGACATCCTGGAGAGTGAAGTCAAGTGGGCCTTAGAAAGCCTGGCTAACAACAAGGCCAGTGGAGGTGATGGCATTCCAGTTGAACTATTTAAAATCTTGAAAGATGATGCTGTTAAGGTGCTACATTCAATATGCCAGCAAGTTTGGAAAACTCAACAGTGGCCAGAGGATTGGAAAAGATCAGTCTACATCCCAATCCCAAAGAAAGGCAGTGCCAAAGAATGCTCCAACTACCGTACAATTGCACTCATTTCGCACGCTAGCAAGGTTATGCTCAAAATCCTGCAAGGTAGGCTTCAGCAGTATGTGGACCGAGAACTCCCAGAAGTACAAGCTGGATTCCGAAGAGGCAGAGGAACTCGAGACCAAATTGCTAACTTGCGCTGGATTATGGAGAAAGCCAGAGAGTTCCAGAAAAATATCTACTTCTGCTTCATTGACTATGCGAAAGCCTTTGACTGTGTGGACCACAGCAGACTATGGCAAGTTCTTAAAGAAATGGGAGTGCCTGACCACTTTATCTGTCTCCTGAGAAACCTATATGTGGGACAGGAAGCAACAGTTAGAACTGGTCATGGAACAACTGAGTGGTTCAAAATTGGGAAAGGAGTACGGCAAGGCTGTATATTGTCCCCCAGCTTATTTAACTTATATGCAGAATACATCATGCGGAAGGCTGGACTGGAGGAATCCCAAGCCGGAATTAAGATTGCCGGAAGAAATATCAACAACCTCCGATATGCAGATGATACCACTCTGATGGCAGAAAGTGAGGAGGAATTAAAGAACCTTGTAATGAGAGTGAAAGAGGAGAGTGCAAAAAATGGTCTGAAACTCAACATCAAAAAAACTAAGATCATGGCCACTGGTCCCATCACCTCCTGGGAAATAGAAGGAGAAGATATGGAGGCAGTGACAGATTTTATTTTCCTGTGCTCCATGATCACTGCAGATGGAGACAGCAGCCCCGAAATTAAAAGATGCCTTCTTCTTGGGAGGAAAGCGATGACAAATCTTGACAGCATCTTGAAAAGCAGAGACATCACCTTGCCAACAAAAGTCCGCATAGTCAAAGCTATGGTTTTTCCTGTCATGATGTATGGAAGTGAGAGCTGGACGATAAAGAAAGCAGACCGCCGACGAATTGATGCCTTTGAATTGTGGTGCTGGAGGAGACTCTTGAGAATCCCCTGGACTGCAAGGAGAACAAACCTATCAATTCTAAAGGAAATCAACCCTGAGTGCTCACTGGAAGGACAGATCCTGAAGCTGAGGCTCCAGTACTTTGGCCATCTAATGAGAAGAAAAGACTCCCTGGAAAAGACCCTGATGTTAGGAAAGTGTGATGGGAAGAGGAAAAGGGGACGACCGAGGATGAGATGGCTGGACAGTGTCGGCGAAGCAACCAACATGAACCTGACACAACTCCGGGAGGCAGTAGAAGACAGGAGGGCCTGGCGTGCTCTGGTCCATGGGGTCACGAAGAGTCGGACACGACTAAATGACTAAACGAAACGAAACTAATGAGAAGAAAAGACTCCCTGGAAAAGACCCTGATGTTAGGAAAGTGTGATGGCAAGAGGAGAAGGGGACGACCGAGGATGAGATGGCTGGACAGTGTCTGCGAAGCAACCAACATGAATTTGACACAACTCCGGGAGGCAGTAGAAGATAGGAGGGCCTGGCGTGCTCTGGTCCATGGGGTCACGAAGAGTCGGACACGACTAAACGACGATACTGTACTGTAAACAATAACAATAATATACAGTAGTGACAAGGGTATGCAACAACAGCCAAATAAAATATTACAGGTGCAAAACAAATTACAGTAAAAATACACAGTAAAAACATAAAAAAATAAAAATGGAAACATGACAGTAGGTTGGATGTTACATTATTGAGGCAGTATGTTTTAAGATCCAAGAAGGCCTTTTTAAATAGTTTTTGAAGGGGGTTTTTTGGTTGTTGTTTTTTCAGACTCCGTTCAATAGTGCAATGGGGCTGCTGCCTGGAGGATATAGGCTGGCAGGGTCCTGCCCTTTCACCCCACCCCAAATACAGAAGAGGGCAGAAGGAGGGTCAAGTTAAGATTTCAGTCATCTCGAAGCAGTTAGGAGAGCTCAGGACACAAACAGATTTGACAGCTGTGCCAAGACCTTCTGAAATAATGGTAAAGGTAAAGGTTCCCCTTGACAATTTTTCTCCAGTCGTGTTCGACTCTAGGTGGCGGTGCTCATCCCCGTTTCCAAGCCATAGAGCCAGCGTTTGTCCGAAGACAATCTTCCATGGTCACGTGGCCAGTGCGACTTAGACACGGAACGCTGTTACCTTCCCACCGAAGTGGTCCCTATTTATCTACTTGCATTTGCCTGCTTTCGAACCGCTAGGTTGGCGGGAGCTGCGACAAGTGACGGGAGCTCACTCCGTCGCGTGGATTCGATCTTACGACTGCTTGGTCTTCTGACCCTGCAGCACAGGCTTCTGCAGTTTAGCCTGCAGCGCCACCACATCCCTTTATGGTATGGAAATAATGGTACTGCTGTGTAAGTCCATGAGGATGTGAACCTGCTGGTATTGGTTAGAGGGCTTTGCCAGGGTGTGCAGTTAAATTTAGCCATCCCTGTTCATGAATGTTCCTTGCAACCCTGTGTTTACTTAAGAATAAGGCCTGCTGAATGCAGAGAAGTTTACTTGAGTAAACATATATTAGCTTTAACTGCTCTCTTCCTATTCTAACAACCTGAATTAGTATCTAATTGTGGCATTCATTTCACTTCGCAAGTTAATATCAAAATCTGTTCTTTCCAGGTCCCGCCCCCATATATAAGTTATCATTTTAATTTTGTTGTCAGCTGATCTGTAAAGGAGGTAAAAAAGTGGGATTGAAAAATATAACTAATTAACAAAATAATTTGTGAAAAAGTTCTGAAATACAGGAGGAAGGAGAAGTCCTCAATTTTACACTGAAAATGTGGGGGGTGGAGGGAAATAGTAGGGGGTCTGCCTTCTTGGCAATGTTTTACTTCTGTAGCTTCTGAAGTGGGTGGAGGAGTGTCTGTTGTGCACAGCTGTCATCAGTGGCTGTGGCTGAGAACAATGAATGAGAAGTTTTGAAAGGCTCCCTATCAATAATACATGCCTTATTCTTGATACAATTATGGTCTTGGCTTCCATTCCAGACATGAAAGCATACCCGTACTTAGGTTTCAAGAACTGCATTATTTCACTCCATTTGCATTTCATGCTACTTGGCATACAACTCATTATAAAAGAGGGGCAAATGCTTATTGACCTGGACCCTCCGCATGCCCTGTGTCCCTGCTTTTCCTGCTATTGTTGCCATGTCCCTCAGCCTGTGGTCATGTCTCTCCACCATCAGGACTGTGTTCATTCATTTGTTAATTCATACCACATCTGTATTTAAACAGCATTGTTCTTGCACTTACCTTGATTTTACTTTCACAGTAGCACTGAGAGGCAGATCACAGAAAGAGCAAAACTGACTCTTAAGATTACCCAGTAAACTTCCTTAGGTGAGTGCGGATTGGAAACCAGATGTGTCAAGATTCCAAGCCAAACATTCACCCACGACACCTCATTATCTCTTCAAGACTCACATAGTCTGCATGGGGGGAGGGGGAGGAAAACATGGAGGATTATAAAATTGTGTTGTTGTTGTTTTAAATAGTGGGTTTTTTTGCTGGCAAACCCAAGGTCCAGAAAATAAATTATTTACTACAAACTTACTGAGTCACCTGTATCAAATACCTCAAGCTCTCTTTTAGGAGGCATCCTTTAGTCTCAAGAGACTATGATAAAGTGCGCTGAGTAGAGGTCTTAGAACAGCATCTAGTGTGGCTGAGAAGGTCAATTCGAGAGGGACCATCCCTTCCACACTGAAGACAAATACAATGTCCCCTGTCCAGCTCCCTGATTTTCCTGGTTTCGGGACTGCCTCTTTGCCTCGGCCTGTTGAACAAGTGTCTCTTCAAATTGGGAGAGGTCATGCTGCACCACCTGCCTCCAGGCTGAACACTCAGATGTCAAAGTTTCCCATCTGTTGAGGTCTATTCCTAAGGCCTTCAGATCCCACTTGTATATCTCCTTGTATCGCAGCTGCGGTCTCCTTCTGGGGCGCTGACAGATCTTTTCAAATCCAACCATCAGCCATTCTCACAACATGCCCAAGCCAATGTAGACATTGCTGTTTCAGAAATGTATGCATGCTAAACATTCCAGCTCATTCTAGGACTACTCTATTTGGAACTTTGTCCTGCCAGGTGATACCGAAAATCCGTTGGAGGCAACACATATGGAACATATTGAGATTCCTCTCCTGCCATGCACAAAGGGTCCAGTATTCACTGCAGTACAGGAGTGTACTCAGAACACAGACTCTATAGACCTGGACCTTTGTGTATGCTGTCAGCTTCTTATTAAGCCATACCCTCTTTGTGAGTCTAGAGAACATGATAGCTGCTTTGCCAATGCATTTATCCAGCTCGACATCTAGGGAGAGACTCTCTGAGTTCTTGGATAAAACTATGGGGGCTTCCAGGCACTTTCAAAGTGGATGCCCTATGGTTATCCACATTTCTTTGCCCCTAATAGATTACAAGTGGAAGATGCCAAAATCTGGGTAACGTCTTTTCATATAACATGGCATGGATGAAGTAGGATAATAGCATGAATGCTCATCTGGAAGTACAAAAAAACCCAAACAAACAAGAAAAACCCCCATCACGTAACAGTCACAGCTGTAGACTGTGTTCCTGCTGAATTCTTAAACATACTCTGTTGCTGTGATACCAGAGGCTGAGCTGGGGAATGGGGGAATTGACATGCTAGTGAAGTAAATGAAAGGCCAGTAAAGCCCTATGCTTTGAAATGAGATTGTCAGCAATCAGTAGAAAGCTAAAGTTCATTTCCTTTGGCACTGAAAAGGCAAAAGTTCTGCTTCCCCCATAAATTGGTATTTCTGATACATGCTTTAGAAGTGACCGATTTGTAAAAAAGCATATCTCACCTCAGAATTTCCTTCCTTGTGAAGAATGTTGCATCCTGAAACACCAAAAGAAGACAAGAACAGGCATCTAAGAGTTCATAAATGACCGCCAACCCTGCCTCCAACATCTCCGTAATTTCTCACTGCCCAGTGGGAAAACGTGATGCGTGTTAACCATGAAGACACACCATCTGCTCTGTCAAGTCAGGAAAGGTCTTTCCTTCCTTCGTTCCTTCTTCTTCTTCTTCTTCTTCTTC